TTTTTTTCGAGAAACCTAACAGTAATAACCACTAAATCTTATGCATTTGAGTTGTGTATTCATCAAGATTAACAACTTCGATCTAAAAAATCATTGTAATTAGTCATTTCATTGATGATCTTTATACATTTTCTTTTTCACTTTGTACATGACATATTTATAGCAACAAAAAGAAGAAGAAGCATAAAACAATATATATAAGAAAAAACAATGAAATCAGTAACTTTATAATTAGATCACAATATGTTTTTTCTTTTTATTCTTACTTGGTATAGAAAAAAAATAATAAATGAAGGAAAAACTAAGAAGATCATACATTCCAATACAACATCTAAGTTCCCCAAATAAGAATATAAAGAATTTTTATGGTATACATATGCTAATTAACAACAAAAATTGAAGTGTAGCTAAGATTCTTAAATCTTCCATGAAAAAGACATTGGCCAACAATTACATTCTTTAAACATTTTGGTTTAAATTGATTATTAATTTATAATGATATATTTTTTTCTTTTATTAATTTTTATTGGTGTTGACACTAATTAAGAACTGATTTGTGCTTGTTGTGGTTATTTATTTGAATGCATTATAATTAGTGTAGTGGATAAAAATTAGGGTTCCTATTACATCTTTATTATATTGCTTATATACTAGTAAACAATCTTAAACAAAGCTAGAAAAATAATAAACAAGTTCTAATCCAATATAACAAATATAATAAAGAAAATCATGAACAATAATTATGGTCTTTATTTGAAAACTTTCCTTGACCTTTTATAATAAAAAAAATTTAACTCTATATAAAAAATATAATTTTCAAAATCTTCTATCAAAATTTCATCATAATATAATGTTCAGCTTAAAAATTATTCTTATTCGATTAGATTACATGCTAGACTCTTTTAAAATTCTTCAAAACCTATTTTTTTTTAAATTAAGGAAATAAAACAATAAAATAATTATAAAAATAATAATAAAGAAAGTGCCCTACGTTGGTCCCCTATACTTGCAAAAAAACTCGCCCTTATGTTAATTGTTATAAATTGAACTTGACTATGCTAAAAAAAATAGATAATTCAAATGTAACATTGTTATAAATTTATGCACCAGGTAGCTAGCTCCAAATATTTTAAATCTAATTTTAACAAATATATATTTATGTAAACTTTTTGAATTTATACAAAACTTCTTGTGACCTAAAAAATCAAGATCACATCACATGGAACCATTTTTTGAGATGATAAGAACTTTAATTGATGTGTTTGGTTATCCTCAATAATAAATTTTTGACCACCAGTTAAATTAGTAATTTTAGAATATTGATCCAACATAGATATATTTGGTTTAGACAACACATTCATACTTAATTTCTCTGTGACCCAAGACCAAACTAATCAAGTTGACTTGAAAATCATTGTTTTGATCATAAACCAACTCTAAAACTTTGGTTTAACTAAAAAACAAAACCCAAATAAAGTGAATATGCAAAAACAGACTCAATTAAAAAAAAATATGAGAAATATAAAATTCCTTAACAAAAACATATAAAACACAAAAAAAAAATACGATGAATGTTCTTTACGAACCCAAAAAACTTAACTCTCATCACATACCAAATATAACAAAACTAGGGTATAAAGAAATTATAAATCATGTAAGGATCAATAATATGATACCAATTTACTTTGATTATCACTAAATCATTACAAATTGACTAGAAAAGGTTTCAATTTGAAACCAAAACTTTAAGATTAAAATCATGAAATACATATTATTAAGGCAAAAGAAATCTAGATTATTGGACGGCTAACACAAAGAGAATAACCAAAATTGGATTAAATCATGTAGCCAAAAACATTGCCCCAAAAAATATAGAAAACCTCATAAAAAACCCAAAAATAACCTCAATCCAAAAACAAAACTAGAACTCAGGAAAAACAACCAAAACCTAGCAACCAATGCTTTGAATTGTTCCTATAATTGTTTTAAAAAACATTTTTAACCCTTCACACTAAAATATATCATCCAAATTTCTAATTTCATACCATACAAAACTTTATAATATATTTATTTGGTTCTCAATGGCTGTAGCTTTCTTGGAAAATCAATTAAACATATTATGAGAATATACAAACGGACATTATGATTTTGCTAACACAGAAAAGAAGAAGAAACAAGCATAAAAAAGAAGATTCGGCTCACATGGTGGTCAAGAACATGGTTTAGCTTTAGCCAATGTTTGATATTGTATTCCAAGCAAAAGTTGGTTAAAAATTAAATTTTTTTTAAAAAATTTTAAGAATTTTTATGCTGGTATTAAAAATAATATTTGAAAAAAATATTATTTTAATATTTTTTAAATAAAAAATATTTTTTAAAATAATTATTATCACATTTATATATATATAGATATACAAGTGATAGAAACTCATCATCCTGAAACCATAACAACAACTATAAAAAAAGAATAAAAAAAAGAAGGCAAACGGGAAAATGCAAATGTACAAGGAATGTGAATAAAGCATAACGCGTCCAAGAAAATACCATTACCACCCTTCAATTTAATTTTTTTATTAGAGAAACGGAGAATACTCCCCCATTCAACGACTCCAAGAAAGACGACGGTATCACCCAATACAACAGCGTAATATAACCCGGATTTGAGTATAATTATATTCGACCGCATCTACTTTCGAGCAGCTGGTGCCATCTCTTTTGAACGCTATTATTCGTTATTCGCTAGAGCTTAATTATTCGTCACCAGAGTCGAGCATATCTCTGATGCCGGCAACCGCTAAAATTTTATCGGTAAATATTCATAATGTTTTTTTTTAAAAATTGTGGACTCAAAGAAAGCATGGACCCCGAGCACCCGGTGCCCGTGAGCGCACTAGGCTCACCAGCCTAATTTTTGGGCACGTGTGCTGGGCTAGAGCACGCTGTCAACCCCCAGACCTAATTTTTGGGCGGGGACTTGGCACTCGAGGACGGTGTACGAAAATCTTCACCTGCCTGTTATGTCTCCATCCCATAAATGAGTTGGATGATTTAATATAAGACAATTGTGTTGTTGCAGCTATTTGAGCAGGCTGAGTGAAACCATAGCTGAGGACTTATCGTTTGTAAATGATGTTAAAATTATATTTTTTTATTAAAAATTATTTTTTATTTTTAAATTATTATTATATACTAACTTAAAAATTAATTATTAAAAAATAAAAAAATATTATTTTAATATATTTTTAAACAAAAAGTATTTTAAACTATAATTAAAAGGCACTTCTTAAAATAAAAATACCCTCTAATCTTACACCATAAAAAAGGAGTTAAAAGATATAAATACTCATTAAAGCATATAGATAAAAGGGATCTAAAGCTATGTCTTTGAGGGAAAAATTGCTCAAGAGGGAGTTTTACAATATTTATTGTTTTGGTCAGATTTTTAAACTCTTATGGCTTTTGTAATTCTACAATAGCTCAACCTATCGCTGAAGTTTACTAAAAAAATTACGAGAGGCAATTATATTGCTCCTTCTTACCACATGAATATTATTAATATAATTTAGATAAAAATGAACGTGCCAAAAGAGAATGAAAACTTGTGCGAGATCGATCACTTTTCCATTGATGGCCTGTGGACAAGAAAATCTTAATAGCACCAAAGGAGGGCAGAAGCACGACACGCTAGCAGAAAATAAGAGCTACAACGCGCTACTAAACGCCAAGCTGCTGCTGCTGTTTTGAAGAACTCTACTTGCGGATGAGAAGGGAACTCGAGCAATTTCTACACCACTCCAACTTGCAGCATCTTTTTTCCTTGTTCCACGTGCTAACCTCTTTTTATTTGATTCTATCTCTCACTCACCAGGTCCACCATGCCTGCTGGTCATGTGCTTGTGCATCTGACCGACCCTATTCTTTTTTCTTTCTCCACTCGAAACACAATGACCTCCCTGTACGTTTTCACAAATGCCCCTTTCACACTTCTTTATGCAAGAGAGTGTGAGTGAAATCTAAACAATGGAATATGGAACACAGGATATCAATTCTGAGCCGAAGGATTTTGTGGATGATTGGCGAATCCTGCTCTTGGAATTATAAATAACTAGAATTGAGTTAATAGGATCTAGATTCTTGACCTTGAATTATATAAAAATATTAATTCATTTACCCTTAAGATTTGAAAGAACTTATCTTTACTTGCTCTTTTGCAGCCTTTTGAACAAGACTAAACCTCAATATAATTCCACTGTAATGAAGACAGTGTCTGCCACATGCTCCCCATAAAGGGTTACGGCAACCCCAATAATATATATATCAGGCTAGACCATCTTGTTCCATGCAGAAGCTAGTGTTTATGGGGGTGAAGGGTAGGTTTCTTTTCCTTCTAAAACAAAATGCATAGAGAGAAAAGAGGAGAGGAAGAGAGAAATTCACCTCGTTCAAAGGTCGTACCAGTGTCTGAGTCTCAGACTGCATTGACAGTCAAGGTATCTATTCTCCAGTGATGAGCCACAGACCACATCAATTATGGAGTTGTTCATTCGTATCATTCCACAGATGATACAGAAGTGTCCAGGCTCCTAACAAATGGTTGCTTATTGCTATACATCTCGACCTGCTCTCCGCAAAGCAACGAAAACGATTTAAAATTAAATATTTGGTGAAGGAATATGACCTAATCAATAAGTAAGGAATTGCACCTCCAGTGGAAAAAAGAACTAAAGAAAGACCTGTAAACGTTTTATCAAAATCTCAATTCAACAAAGCGACTTCAAGATAAATATGGGCAGAGTAGTTTAATTACATGAAAGTAAGAGATACAGTTCATAAAACATCTTCAGCTATGCTAAGAGATACAGTTCATAAAACATCTTCAGCTATGCTAAGAGATACAGTTCATAAAACATCTTCAGCTATGCTAAGAGATACAGTTCATAAAACATCTTCAGCTATGCTAAGAGATACAGTTCATAAAACATCTTCAGCTATGCTAAGAGATACAGTTCATAAAACATCTTCAGCTATGCTGCCGTTCCAACATGACTTTTGCCTCTGGTGGAAGGTGCTCGGGAATCTTCTTTATTCAATTTTTCTTCTGACTAGTGCTCTGAAGAAGTCGAAACTGTAGCCAATGAGAAAAGAATAAAAAAAATATTGCGATTATTTCCATTACGAGGATAATGAGGCAGGTTCTCTGTATGGAAACAATTCATCTGAAATGTAAAACTACATGATACTAAACCTAGCATATTTTAGTCAAAGTAGGGAAGATAATGGCAGATAGTAACAATCAGAAGCAGATCGTTTCCAATTGTGTTTTATCTGATGACCAGAAAAATTCAGAAACATGGAAAGTTGTCGCTGGCCCATTCAAATTTGCAACCAAGTCAAGGACTCAAGACATCCGGGTTGAGAAAAACATAATGGCCACTCTGACGCACATGGATCCATGGAAAACTTGTACTACAAGAGAATAGGATAGATCAATACAGTAATGATGCACTATGCTTTTGTTGAATAAGTAACACTCATGCACAACTTAGCACCACAGAAACCCATTCATTCTCTTCGAATTCAACTTCAAAAAGTGTAGATTTTAATAAACAAGAATATATATTTTGGAAGGTAACACCAATCTACCTATTCCCATCAGGATGAAGTTCACACATTTGATTCTCTTCACCAATAGCTAGCAAATAACCAGAAGATGTCAATCCCTGCAAATATAAGAATTAGCTAAACACTTTAGAACACATCATTTCAGGTTCTAGCACAAGCAGCACGACACTTCCTCTTATTTAGCACCTGTTGCTAAAGGTCTATCATATCAAGGGGCTTAAGGAACTAAACTTTGCATCATGAATGGAACTGAAATTATAAAATCACATTGTGGAATTTTCAGTTAGTAATATGTAGTGGAATAAAACTGTTCCACAGGTTTACTAGGAACAAAATGTGAATTCAAATCAGAAGGTAGCATATTATCTAGGACATCAACCTTAACAAGGTCATACCTGAATGGTGACCACGTTCTCCACTACTTGGTTTTCATTCTTCTCCTGGATGATAACTCTCTGTCCGCTGCATGAACATAAAATAAAATCATAGCTATACACACAAAAAATGACAAATGCATTGCAGATCATGATAAGTGAATCCATGAGTTCAGTACTGAATGAAGAACATAACCAAGGTTCCAAGATACCACAGATAGCCTCCGAAGTTCCAATAATAAAAGCACACGGATAGATATTTGAAAATTGGTAATTCAATAATTATGAAAGGTGTGCCCAGAAAACAAATATCTAAAACATGCTTGTCTAAACGATATAAACAAGTCCGATCAGCATATTATAGGCAATAGCATAGAAAGTTAAGCAGTTATCTAGTTTAATATGAGGATTTTTTTAGAAAGTTGAGTAGTTGTCTAGTTATGAGGACTATTTAAAGCAAAGCGAACATCAATCTGGTGATCCATAAGCAGTAATATAAACAAAACAAGAATCAGGAATCAACAAGTGAAAAGCATGTGCAAGCAGTAATATATATATACACATACTCATAAGCTGAAGGCATCCAAAGGGAATCGATAATGTGAGCAGCTGAAACAAGGATATGCCTGAGAAGCTAGCTAATGACCCATTGATTTGAACAACACATCATCCTAGATGAAGCAAAGTGTGTGAAACAATATTCTTTTCCCTATAGAACTAGAGGGTTTATTTTTTTCTTCTGTTGTTAATTTCAGTCAAACTGTTTTTAGGTTTGCCAAGCACCATGCTCGGTTGTGAGAAATTCATAACAACAACAATTTAAAATTTCAATGGACCTCGATACTTTTCATGGCTACAAAACATGAACATGATGGATCTCCTTTGTTATGCATCTTGTGTTGGGAATTTCGACCAGTGATGTTCTGATACTTGCTCATAGGAGAGCCAAGCACACTGACACAATATTTAACGTGGTTCGGCAAAACCGCCTATATCCACGAGAGAAGTCAATATATTTAGAGATAGAGAAAGAATACAAAACAAATACATGGAGGAGGAGGATTACACCCTCTCATACTCAACTCTCAACTCTCTTTGCTGCAATGGCAGCAAGGCTGCTGCCATTGCAGCTCTCTCTTCCTCTCTACTCTCTTCACATTTTTATAATTCTCTTCACTCATTTTGCTCTCTTGCATATGCCTCTATTTATAGGCATTCATGGAGGCTTTTCTTCAACAAAGGTGGCTGCCAACTCCAACTCTTCTTCAACAATGGTGGCTGCCAACCTTTGACATCTTGGATGAGTGCACATGGTTAGTGCAATAGCAAATGGTTGTTGCACATTAATGGCAACCAACCTAACAATCACCCCCTTTGCCATTCATGTGGGGCAACTGTCCTCATTCTTCTTCAACACAAGCTTGCATCTTGCAGCTCTTCCAAGCTTTCCATTTTGAAAGCTTTTGTAGCCAAGTTTACAAGTACTTGCCAAACCTTTCAATCATCAGAGTGACCTAAGCACACCTTTACAAGTGATCTGGGGTATCCTGGTTTTATACCTGATTTCTCAATATCTGGCGAGACTACAAGTGCTCAGATTTGTCAAGATTGGTCTTCATCAAATTTCACTCTCCACCTCAAATTGTCCAAATGATCGGGTGCCCAAAGTGTCCCAATTTTAACTTCCCTCAAGGCAATTAAAATTCCCCACATAATAGTTCAACACATGTAATTGGACAAACATGTGTGATTTCTTCTACTTCAGCTCCATCGACCACCATGATGACCATCAGATGCCTCCTAATCGGGCAATCTCTCTTTAATAATTCATCACTGCCTTTTATGATCTCAATCTCAATGATCGGACCATACCATTGCATCCGGAACGATCAAATTAGCTGGAAACAAGTCTGAAATCATCCAAATCGCACTTCAGACGGCTAAGATTTGATCAAAACAATTCTGGCCTGATAAACGGCCCAGATTCAATCTCAGAACCGGTTGCACGTAGACTCTGCCACACAGGATCAAAATCCAGGGAGCTGACGTGTCATCCACGTAGGATATATATGTCAACCACATCTGACGTGGCAGTTTGACTGGTCAAAGTGCTGATGTGCCAGGTGATGTGCCTGATGACTGTGCAGAACTGCTGACGTGCCTAGTGACGTGGAAGTTTGACTGGTCAGAGTGCTGATATGTCAGGTGACGTGTCTGATGACTGTGCAGAACTGATGACATGGCTGATGATGTGGACAGTCACCCCGCCGGCGCGTGCGACGGTTTCCAACGTCCGATTTCGACGCGGTTTTCACCAGTGGCTTCGTCTCTTCCTCCTCTACATAGTGGTCTGGTCAAAACACAATTTTGACAACTTTCATTTTTGAGCAAAATCAAACACCACTTTAAACCGAACGCTCTGATACCAATTGTTGGGAATTTCGACCGGTAATGTTCTGATACTTGCTCATAGGAGAGCCAAGCACACTGTCACAATATTTAACGTGGTTCGGCAAAACCACCTACATCCACGGGAGAAGTCAATATATTTAGAGATAGAGAAAGAATACAAAACAAATACATGGAGGAGGAGGATTACACCCTCTCATACTCAACTCTCAACTCTCTTTGCTGCAATGGCAGCAAGGCTGCTGCCATTGCAGCTCTCTCTTCCTCTCTACTCTCTTCACATTTTTATAATTCTCTTCACTCATTTTGCTCTCTTGCATATGCCTCTATTTATAGGCATTCATGGAGGCTTTTCTTCAACAAAGGTGGCTGCCAACTCCAACTCTTCTTCAACAATGGTGGCTGCCAACCTTTGACATCTTGGATGAGTGCACATGGTTGGTGCAATAGCAAATGGTTGTCGCACATTAATGGCAACCAACCTAACATCTTGAAGATTATCTACTTCATAACTTGTTTGCACATAAACTTTCAAAAGAAGTGATGAAATGATAAACCACTGAACCATCATTGATTTGAATGGACATCAACCCTAACCAATTATAAACATTACCGGTGCCCTTTACATTAGAAAAAGTAAACAAGCACACACGGAAAAGAAAACCATTAACACAACAACAGAGTTGCAAAGAGGAAATCATGTGAAATACTGGAGAGTATTGAAAATTACATCTCACCTGTGTAGCCATGTTTTATAGTAAAGCTCCTCAAGAATTTGAAATCCTGGGTGCTATGCCGAGAGAGAGAGAGATGAATGTGACATCATCATCATTATTATTACTACTACATGTAATATGGTTAGCTTGGAAATAAACATGATATTATCAATAGAAAAAAATGGCTATTTGTAAAGAAATTTCTGATGAAGCAATTATACGAGAAAAGGAAATGACAGAATTATAATTTGACACAACCTTTGGTTAAAAAGAAGGAAGAAACCAACTAAACTATAAAGAAATATATGATTTAATAACACTAAATATCAATAATTCTTTAACTATTTTAAAAAATAAATTAGATAACCCTATTTATACTAGTTCTAGACTTAAATCTTAATCCTCTTCGGAAAAGGAATCCTTATTGATAGTTATATGATTAATATAGAATCTAGCTAGCATTGAGATTCCTAAGCTAAATAAGAAAATAAAAATAACAAGAAAAATAAAGAAAATTATGAAAAAGCAACTTCCAAACCTAATTTGGGCATGAAAACAACCTCAGCTAGTTATAACTTGTTGACTCTAACTCTTGTAGGTGATTACATTGATTCAGCCTTTGAATTCAGAATTATATTTATGGATACATTTATTTCATTGAAAACAGTACTGATATCACTGAAATAAATATTGATCATAATCCCAAGGAAGAAACTTATCTTGCATTCATGATCTAACAAGTGCCCTGCCCTCTCTTTTGCTTATAGCCATATGTAGTTTTCACCAAGAAAAAGCTCCACCTTTCAGCTTGTATGTGGTCAATTTCAATATCATCTCGTCTGAGGTATTCATGCATTCCTTAAGCTTGTCACATTTAGCAATCCAGTCAAAGAATTTTTCTATATCCATATCTACATTGAAGTTAGGGATATCACTCGTTAGATAGAATTCATTCATCTCATGCTAAAGTTTTACAAGCCTATGCTTATTGTAATAGGCCAAACCCTTGCAACCTCAATCAATCTTGTCCTCTTCAAATTCCTCCAAATAGATAGGTTGTCCATGTATGATTGGAGGAACAACTTTGGGATTTGATCCACTCCGAGATAAGTCTTTGGACGCCCCCCTCCTTTTAACACCATTCTTGTTTATGCCTTCCCTTGGTAGTTGATCTAACTGCTCAGCTATGTCTACTACTGAACGTTCTAATCAATCGAATCTTTGCAATAAGATTATATATGGTGCCTCTTGAGTCCTCACAACGCTTCTACGTCTCCAACTCCCTAAATTACATTGCAAGGTAGGATGATGTTGTCAATGTCTCTATCCATCAAGCAAGCTAACTTGCTATGATATTAATTGACGCAACATGTTTAGCAAAAAGGAAGAAACCAGGGTTTTACAAACCCTAAAATTGCACTAAACATCTAATTTAATGACTCTAATTGTAATAACTCTTACTTGTTATGAAAACTAACCAGACAACTCTATTTATACCAGTCCTATACCATATCCTATTCCTTATAGGAAAATGAATCCTTATTGAAAGTTATATGCCCAATATAGAATCTAATTGGCATTAGAATTCCTAAACTAAATAAGAAAAGTAAAATAACAAGGACAATTAAAAAAAAATAAAACAATTCCAGATCTAATTTGAACATGTAAACGATCTCAATTGGTTGTAAGAAATAATATGCTTGCAAAATTTTAGTTTGATCCAATAGTCAAATTAAAAGTTATGTTGTTTTTGCTAAGAAGCTCCTTTAACTTGTCCAGACTTTTTCTTAGATTTGGACTGGTTGATTTGATCATGAATGTACTTGTTGGATGTTCCACATCATAATTAGAGCAATCCTAACTTGTAACAAGTTATTGGACTTTATGTTATTGAGAACCAACTAAACAAAAACCTTAACCTCATAGGGTATCTTGCCCTAGTAAGAAACAAAAGTTTGGAGATTAAAAAAAATCCAATCAAATCTTCACTTTTTTGCTTTCAAACTTCACCATTCACATCAATAAAACCATAAAATCTCAATCCATTGTCTTACCATTCTAAAATTTCCTAAGAGTTGATTCAAGCAGAACTACAAGAAGTATTTGGTTGAGAGTTAAAATATGCCTTCCTTAACTGATTGGAAAGTATCAAATCAACACCTTTTAGTCTATCTTAGATAACTTAATAAAAGCTCGCTCATTGAAATGCTTTATGGGTTCTGAATGAAGTCAATTCCAGCTGTTGCTTTACTAGACTAGGAGATAGCAAACCAATACCTGGAAGAAATATGAAGCAAGCCCTTAAACGCCACAATATGATTATTAATAAGAGCTCAAAATGGCACAAACCATATACAGTGGCCTGCTAGTATCCAAGAGGAAGAACCCCAAAAATTTTAACAACTAGCTAATATTGTAAAGTATTCCATAAATGCAATGGAAGAAGGAAAGGGATGAAGCAATGAAGCTATAAATAAATCTCAAACAATTATTTGAGCTTCAATAATGAAGTTCGTTCTCCTTAAAAGTTGGACCAACAGGTACTGAAATTTCCATGACAACCTTTTTTTATTTCATCCTATATTGAATAACCTTTAAGTTTCAGCCATCTCGATGTTATTTTGCTTCCTTTTATGATGTTATGTGGCAAGAAAATAATAAGAATAACCATGCATAACTATATATGCCTTTTACCCTATGTTGGAAAAAAACTTAGTTAATTACCATGATGATGATATTTTTGAGTTTCAACATAGTAAAACCAGAGAAGGCTAGCATGTTTAGATGACAATTTTACAGGATGATTGGTAAGTGAAATGGCATATTTGATGATGGAAATGCCTTTTCAATAATTTAAAGAATTTACTCACCTCCATTTATGAAAAGACCATAAAGTTTTTCAAACTTATTTAGAAAGGCCGCAACAATATCTTCTCTTCTTAAAGCGCATGCAGCACCAACCAACTCTCTTAAGACCACATTCAAGCATGTTGTTGGTTTCTTATTATCAACATTCAAGCCTATACCTGCAATATTGGAATGCTAGTTTACTCGTATCATAAATACAAATTTAGAACCAACCTTCTGTATAATTTGGATTACAAAGAATGGGAGCTGAAGAATAAACAAATTAGCCAGTCAGCTATGTGTAAGTGTGAAAATCAGAAACCATTCGCAAATCACTGAAGAAGAATCATTTTTATCGGCACTGACATTAAACTTCTTTGATCTGTATATTGAGGTGCAGAGAATGCCTCCAACTTTAACACCATTTAAATAAAGATCACTTGGCCATTTTATTCTAACGTCAAGATGTGGTAAGCCCTGAAATAAATCATATACCCCCCAAAATGCATGAATCAACATCTAAACCTCAAACTCACATACTTGCTTACTAAAAATTTACAATAACAAAATCATGTATAGAATTAACGGGTAAAACAGCCTACAGTCATTGTTCAATCAGACACTGTCAGGTGTCATTCCTTAAAAACTTGTGTTTTTTACACACTATCTTATGTTATCTGGTTAAAGAAGAAATCACTAAGGAAGCAATATTTAGATATCAAATAAGAAATGAAAAGGTTATAACAAGGTAATGGCTAGCAACGCACTTCAATTAAAAAACAAAAACTAACATTTTTGTCACAAAGATCCTTAATTGCCTCTGTAACAGCAAGAGACACTATGTATTGCAACAAAGGCATAACTTGCCCATCCTTCATTTGAATGGTAAATGAAAACATCAAGCAACCTGCTAGAGATTCCCGCACATTCTTTGATCAACTTGCATAGTCAAACAAAATAACATACATATAGATACATTCAACTTTTCTAAATTCACAGCATGACATTCCTTTCACAAACCTCGCTCTTTATATTGAACATCAGCAACTCAAACAGTACTAATTGGAAGCTCGCCAAAATTATTGCCAGAAAAAAAAAAACATAACAATAATAATTAAACAGCACACCAAAATCCAAATTAAATTTGGAGATGCTTACTTGGAAACAAGATCATGAGTTGAGGGCAATAGCGGAGACCAAATGAGTAATCTACCGAATAGATTAGTTGAAAGACAATTCATAAACTGTGAAACAGAGAAAGATTCTTCATTTTATTGAGGTTCATCAAGAATCTCTGAGTGCAAAAGAGTAGAAATTTCCACATTATCCGGTAGTTTAAGAGTGTTATTGTTCATCAATAATTTAGCAATTTCATTCTCTGTAGATGATTTTCCACATAGTAACAGTTTACAAGGCGTACTATTGCTATCCATTGCTGAACCAAAACAACAACAACAACAAAGAAATAAAATTTTAAGCGTTTCCGGTTGTCAAGCAAGGTAAAAATATTTGACACCTACTTGTAGAGGTTGCAACTGATCGATAAAAAGAGACAGGAAAAGAGTGAATACGTGTTTTTTTTTTTTTGGATAGTTTCACTTTCAACTCATTAAAAAATAAATAATTCAACTCATTAAAAAAATAAAAATAAAATATAAAACTCTCTACTGAACTGTGTTCAAAGGAAGGGTACTCAACGGAGAAAACAACACATGCTACTTGCACAGGAGTTGTTAAAGTTTGCTATCACTGAAGTTTTGAAGCCGTTGGATTATCCAAGATTTTGTTACTAGTTTTTGATTTCCAAAAAAAAAAATCTAAAAATATATATTTGAAAGAAATCTAAAAAAAATAAAATAAAAATAATTGGAACAAGAAAAGAATGACGAAGTGTCGAAAAAAGACCAAAATTGATTGAGGAGGTTCAAAAGTGCAAAATGTTGAAATTTGACAATATATTTTTGACTGATGGAAACCCTATTGATAAGAAAAATTCAATTTGTGAAAGAAAAGTCCAAAATCATATGTTTATAGACTCAATTAAATTTTATTCGAGATTTAATTGAATTTATGGAGAGTTTGATTGCAAGAAAATTGATCTTTTAAGTCAACTTAGGCTTTTATTAGAAGAACTTAAAGTTTTTGGGTCCAATTATAATTTTAAAGAGTTGATTTGGTCAAATTAAAGATTTAATTGTATAATTATTGAAGTTTGATGGTCAATTAGGAACTTGATTGAAACAATTCGAAATCAAGAACCAAACCAGAAGAGGCGCTAAAATTAAGGGACCCAATCACAATTTTTCTAGGGTTTGATTACAAAATTGTAAAAATTACAATGACCAAATCAGAAGAATCAAACAGTTTTATTTCCATTGAAGTGCTATTCATTATCTTCTTAAACATGACAGCTGTGGTGTTAAAGGTAGGAGACTTTAGCAATGATAATGAAGCTGCTTCAATCAGGGGGTATGTCTCATGCTACCATATACATCGATCGTTACTCTATTGCCAAAAAACATTTGCATCCTCTGGCTATAAAAGCCAGAGGAAAGAAGCAGCCAGGAAATGAGGAAAAACAAAAACAGAAAGGGCAAAGACAGCAGAAAAACATGCAGAGAAGAGGAAGAATAACCGTCAACTGGCCAGAATCAGCTTCCCAGGCCGCTGCCACCAGCACCTTCATAAAGCTGCTACAGAGAGGGAAGAACATTGTTGATAGAGGAAACAACAACGAAGAGAAAGAGCGACCACAACACCACCACCACCAAACTAGTCACCAGCATCACCGTTAGCTCATCTATCCAAGCTCATCATCCCAGCAACAACATCGCCATTTACCTTCCTTTTTGAACCACCGTTTGGAAGAAGAAGCAAAGAAGCAAGGTGATAGAAAAAGAAGCAACGCAGAAACAAAATAGAAAAGGAAGAGAAACCACAGCAACACCACCGCCCAACTGGTCAGTAGCATCACCATCAGCTCATCATCCCAGGTAATTCTTCCCCTTATCTTCATTTACTGTTCATCTTCTTGCATGCAGAACGTGCACTTTGCACGTTCTGCAAGCAAGACAATAATTAATCAGTTACTGTGCAAATGCATAATAACCAATCCATATTTGTTTTGGGCTGGAACATTAGCCCAGTCCATCCGGCTGGGCTGAGTTTAGCCCTGTGGAAAGTAGGTCCTATTTTATTGTAGGCTGATTTTGGTCTAGTTTCCTTTTTGATCGAGTCCAACCTAGTAAAAAAATTCTAAAAAAAAGGACATTTTCTTCAAATTTCACAAAAAATTATGATTTTCTTGTATAATTTTCTACTAAATTTTGGTTAGTATTGGTTTGTATTTTTATATTGTAAAGATATAAATTCAGTATTAAAATACCTAATTTTCATCAAAACATTAAATAAAAAATGTTTTATTCTCATGTATACAGTCAAGTCTCTAAAAAAAAATTATATTGTATTTTTATATAACAAAGAAAATTTTAAAAATATGTATTAACATGTATTTTGGCTTTAATAACCAGTTTATTAAAGTCACGAGAACTAGGCCAATATTTTAAAATTTTCAAAAAAATTATTTTCTCTTTTAATATCTAGGTTTACAACCTTATACATAAGTCATATTTAGGATATTAAATTCTTTTATTGATGTTAGAATTACCCGATAAGATAAGGATCACCTTATCGAGGAGGACTTTTCTTAAATCATAGATGGACCAACAACTAGAAAATATGACAAGACCCTAGATTTTATTAGATAATAAAACAGTGTAGCTTACTCTATATAGGACGTATTTGAGGTGTTAATACCTTCTCTTTACACAATTTGTCCCCGTACCCGATCTGTGAGACCAATTAAGGTTTTTAGTGACCAAAATATTAGGTGACGACTCCCATTTTAATTTTTTCACTAATAAAAGACAAGAATTCATTGTCTCTTCATATTTGTTGCATTAGATATAAAATTTATAGGTGGATGTTTCCGTCGCGACGCCGTATATGCGCAATATAAGAGACACGTCGTTCACAGTAAGAGAGCATGACTTTAACCCATAGTTTTAAAATTAGGCCCGGGGGGTCAACTCGGGGCTAAAATTGGGCTGAGTTTATGAAAAAACTAGCTAGAGAATTGGCTCGACAAACCTAGCTAAGACTCGATTATTTTTTATATTACATTGGAACGCAAATTATTTGATTAATTGATAATAAAATTCATAGCCTTATCAATCGAAGAAAAATTTAAGCCACACACAAGCTATATTAGGTAAGTCCCTGTCTCTCTTTTGGTTATAATAATAAGAAAAGACCCTTAGCAAACTCTAAATTTGTTTTTGCAGGGTGTTTGTTTCTTTTCTTGTTTTGGCTCTCTTCACAATTCATGATGCTGTTGTTACTTGTTTCTCTTTAGTTTTTTGTTTATGAAAGCACTTGCGCAGAAATATTCTCCTTTTCAGCCTCATAGAAAACAATTATTTGTTTCGCTTCAGTTTTCTTCTCTCTCATATTTCTGTTCTTTATTGATTGATTAAGCAAACCAGTAACTATACCTTTGGAGAACCTCATTTTGTTGGTAAACTATATGTCCTTTTCTTCTTTATCATTTTTCTCCATTGTGGCTTTTTGGCTTTTCTAGTTTCTAGCTTTTCTGGTTATTAATTCATTGTCATTTAATTCATTGGTTTCGTTTCTCTTCAAGGAAGTAAGATAAGTTGTTAACTGCTTGTTTTCATAAGTCAATCCTTTGCAAGTTACTTGCCTTGTTTATATATAAATCCTTTTATATTCCTTGCCCGTGTTTTGCTTGAATTTGGGCTCTGTTTCTTACCCTGTTTCTATTCCTATTAATAATAGATTAAGAGAATCTGATCATCTATGATTATAATTAGTATGATTATATAGATACATAGGAACTTATCATACATGTATGAGGAGAAAATGCTTGTTCAGAAATTCCCAGCAAGGGCTGTTGCTAACCAATATTTTAACTAAACTATATGCTTGTTTTATTGTTAATTAGGTGAATATACTATGATAAATTATGTTTGATTTAGTTTAATATAGGTCCTTAAAATGTCTTATCGTGATGGTAGTACTCCAAATAATGATCCTTCAACGGTCCAATCATCTCAACCTTTAATTTTCATGTCAAGTGGTGACTGAGAAAGAACAGAGACATAAGGTCATTTTAGAGAAGCTTTTGAACTTAGTGTTGGATATAAAAAAACTAAATTAATATGTTTATATTATGCTAAAGTATTTGCGGGTGGTGACATTAATTGATTTAAGCAACATTTAGCTGAAGCTAAAGGAAAAGTTGAATAATATCGCAAATGTCTTCCTGATGTTTGACATAAAATGCTTTTGAATCTTAAAGGAAATGTAAAAAAAAAAAATATTTATCTTGTTTCTTCGCTGTAATCCATCAAAAGTTAAGACAACATCTACCATTTTCCTTTGAAACTCCCCCGATTATATGACATTCGCAATCTTAGAGATGATGATTAGGTAATTAAAAGATGACGATGACGATGACGATGATGAGGATGGTGATGATGTCAATACTAAAAAATATATGTTACCACCGAAGGTTGCAAAAAAGAAAAAGATTCAAAGCACCAGCATTATAAAACAATCGACTATAAGTTATGAAAAACGAAAGAAATTTGCAACATTATGGGCATATTTCATGTCAAGAATAACTCCTGGTGCTCAAAGTCTTTTAAGAATTGTTGGCAAAAAAGGGAAGCAGCTGAACGATGTGATCTTACTTTAGCAAAGTGGATGGTTGATGAATGTGCGTCATTTAATGTTGTTAACTCTGTGTATTGTTAACATGTCATAAATGTCGTAATAGCCATAAGTTTTGGTTATAAAGTACCAAA